GCTCAGCCACGGTGACCTGTCCCTGCGAGCAGGCAGGGCATTACAAAGGAGCTGTTGGCTCTTGATTCGGGTGCTGAATTCGCCATGTGGGGCAAAGACACCCGGGTCCCCTGTCCCCAGTGGGGGACTCCAGGTGTCTTTACCCCACATGGGGGTCAGGTGATGCTCCAAGTGTGGGGGTCTGCGGTCCCCATTTCCCCCTCCAACACAGCCATGGGACCCAGCGCATCACACGAGCGATGGGATGCCGTGTTTACACCGCCATGTAATAAATCATAAGTGCACACACCCCGCTAAAGAGACCATAAATCTCCTTGCACAATGAAAACAGTCAGGGCAGCTGGTGGTGGCTGAGGTGGGTACAACCGCAGCACGGTCCAGCCATGCCACGCACACCAATGCTCGGTGCCCCAGCCCTGATCCAGGGCATCTCCCAACCTACCAGGGCTGGGCCGCCCAAGGGGGGACAATGGCCAGGGACAAGGTCTCGGAGCTCCCCTGTGGGTGCTGGCCAGGTGCTCAGCTTTGAGCTCACTTTTTCTGTCCCGGGTACAACTCCATCAGCAAAAAGGCCACCTCTGCTTGCTCAGCAGGGCTGGGATTTCACCCAAAATACCAGTTTTACCTCCAGCACCCTCAGTCTCCACTGCACTCCTTGCTGCCCAGGTCACAGCGCAGATGTGATGTCCCACCACTGGAAAATCCCCACGGGGTCAGCGCAGCCTTTCCATAAAGTCATCAGCTCCATCCGAAACACCTCCTGAGCCGATATTTGGTAGGAGCTGAACGCTTCCTTCCTCCTCGTGCCCTGATCCCAACACACGGCTGTCGCATCCCTACATCCCCGTGTCCCCTGTCCCTCCCACCTGCACACGACAGAACAGAGCCGGGCACAACCCCGTGCATGATTTCACACCAGAGGATGGGCAGGGGGGTTGATTTTGCCAGCCTTTCCCAAGCACTTGCATAAACCCTTATACTCCAATGCAGGAGGAGAAAAGCCCCCATTTCCCCTCAGCAGCCCATTACTGTAACTTAAAGCTGAGCAGGTATCAGCTCAGCCTGCCACAGCCCAGCTTTGAGAAAACCCCACTGGAGTTTCACCCCTTTCTGCACATTTCTGACTCATTTTTCCTCCAAAAACCTCTCCGGGCCTGGCGCTTCGCTGTGCCACGAGCCCCAGCTGGGGACAGGGCAGCCAGGGTGCTGCACGGCCACCGTGTCTGCAGAGAGGAGCATTTGATGGCCGAGTGCCCGGGCAGACAGGCGGCTTCGCCTTGGGAGCCTGACTCAAGCGGGGCTCTCATTTACACGGCTGCGAATCCAGATGAGCTGCTCCAACGTGAGGGAGCGAGACGCAGCCCCTGGCACTTTCCTTTTTTGCATCGGTACAAGAATCTGACCCCGATTCTTGAAATTCATCTTTATCTGAGTTTCCAAGTAGAAAGCTCCATGTTTCTGGCTTGTGGACACCAACTGATGAATCCAGGGTGGTGTTTTTTGCCCATCTCCCAGTTATTAACGCAATCTGCCATAGCAACATCAAGTGCCGTGACCGTGTGTCTGCTGCAAACCTCATGACAGAATAGAATAGAGTAATGTTCAGTTGGAAGGGACCTCCACCAATCATCTAGTCCAACTGCCTGACCACTTCAGGGCTGACCAAGTTAAAGCACGTTGTTAAGGGCATTGTCCAAATGTCTCTCAAACACTGACAGGCCAGGGGCATCGCCCGCCTCTCTAGAGCCTGTTCCAGTGTTTGACCACCCTCTTGGTAAAGAAATGTTTCCTAACATCCAGTCTAACCCCCGGTGCAGCTTTGAACCATTACGGCAGCTCTGACCTGGTGCTACCACCTGGGACTCACCTGTGGTCCGAGCTCCCGCACTAGCACGGGGGTCCTTGCGCTTGGCACAGGAGGGGTTAACCATGAGCCAGAGCTGCTCTCCTGGAAAACATTGACATTGAGCCAGCACACCAGGAGAGGGGGGGTATTTCAGGAGAGACACTTTTTTTTCACCCAAGACAAACACCCACACCCTTTCCCAGCCGCCCACCGACCTCCCACACCCGCACGGTCCCCGGGGGGACTCTGGGGAGGTGCGAGGACGGCATCAGCCGAAAGAGTTAACGTGCCGGGAATATGTGAAGGCAGCATGTGACCGCAGGTGGGGCAGGGCGGAGCGATGAATCACTCTTTTGCTTTTCCTCTTTTCACTTCTTGCTGTTACCTGTCTGGCCCAGCACTGCGTTGGCAGGAGCCCGAAATAATCGACCTGCCAGCCAGGGCAATGCACGAGAGGCTGACGGAGATGTTCGCTGCCACAAAACCCACCGGCTGACCCAGTTCTCCAGGAACGATAACCACGGACAGCTTTTTAGGCTGAGAAATGCTGCTTTTCTCTGCCCTTTATTAAGCCAGGTTTTTGTGTGTTTCTTTTCCACTTTTCCGGTATTATTGCTGTCTTGAAAGAGCGGAGGATGAGAAGACCGCGGACCCAGAGGTAGAGGACCTTGCTGGTGGTGCACGTGTGCCTGGGGCTGTCTCTGCCCCTTCGCACAGCCCCAACCGTGGGAAGCTCCAGGTTTTTCTTGCCGGGAGCCCTCTCTCCACGCAGAGCCGGGAGCAAGCAAGAAACCGAATCCTCTTCCCCGGTGAAGAGCTCCAGCGTGGCAGGAGCCGGCAGAGAAGGGAGCGGCACATTTCCTCAGCTGCACATTGAGCCGGGGAGGGCAAAGCAAAGCAAATCGCGTATTTAAAGACCGGGGAATAATTAATTTCTTATTTATTGTCGACATCCGGTGCTTGCTGGGGGTACAGAGGTCCCTTTGGAGAGGGCACCGGCGTGTGCTGTCACCATGGCTTTCTCCCAGGTGCAGTGCCTGGACGACAGCCACGTCAACTGGAGGTCCAGCGAGTCCAAGCCCGAGTTCTTCTACAGCGAGGAGCAACGCCTGGCCCTGGAGGCACTGGCCTCCCGCGGCCCCGATGCCTTCTACGAGGTCCTGAAGAAGGAGAACATCAGGGACTTCCTCTCCGAGCTGGAACTAAAGAAGATCCTGGACACGTTGGAGACGTACGACCCTGGCTCCGAGTACATCCCACGCCATGGCAGCAGTGTGGGGGAGAGCGAAGGCGATCGCAACAGCCAAGGGGATGAGCAGGACGTGGCCCCCTCCCTGGAGTACTGGCCGCAGAGGTCCGACCGCTCCATCCCCCAGCTGGACCTCGGCTGGCCCGAGACCATCGCCTACCGCGGGGTCACCCGTGCCACCGTCTACATGCAGCCGCCCATCGAGGGGCAAGCGCACATCAAGGAGGTGGTGCGGAAGATGATCTGCCAGGCTCAGAAGGTGAGTTCCACCGCGGTGACGGGGCAGGATTTGCCCCAGGCTGTCCTGCCGAGGACAGATCCTAAAGTCCTGCTCCACCAGGTAATCCCCATCCTGCAGGAAGCTCTGCCTAAGCAAAGGCATCGGGGTCAAGTGTTCGGGTTTTTCCACGTTCGTTCAGTGTAATCAATATTTGGGGATCAGATTTTGCTGAAGATGCCGTTAGCCTGGTCCAACACTCCCTGGGAGCAACACAGCCCTTCCGCTGATCCGTATGGCAGCATCGTTAATCCCAGGGTCCCTACAGGGCTGTGGGGAAAACCACTGGGGAGAAAAATGAAAAAATGAGTTGAGCTGCTTTCCAGCTGCGAGCACACAGTTCCAGGCACCCACGATCGTTATTCCCAGAGCCCTGGTTGACTGCATGTGGCAACACGCAGGACCCGGAGGAGCCAAACTCAGCCCTGGGGCAAAACAGCCAAAGCCACTGGTCTGGCGCTGATGTGTGTGAGGGTCGAGCTTGGCCCGAGATTGCTGCGGTGCTCCAAATTGGCCTCATCCTGGCTTTAGGAGGAAAACTGTGAGCTGCTGTGCAGGACAAGGTGGGGGAGATGCTGAGGGGATTTGGGTTGAGACTCATCTTCCCTGTGGCACCAAACCAAGGAGCAGGGAGTTGGGGCAGATGAGCGATGGGGTCAAGCTGGTGTCGTGGGCAGGAGGGAGATGATGGCATGCGTTTGAAGGCCAGCAGTGGTGGGCAGAGGTTGCTGGTATTTCCCAGTGACCCAGTCCCAGCTGGGAAGTGCAGGAGGGGTCAGTACCTGCTGGATTGGTGGTGCTGCTGCTTGAAGCCCTTTGAGCTCTGTGCATCCGCTCCCTTGAGAAATCTAGCTCTGAGGAAGGAGCATCCAAACTCCAGGGATGGTCCGACAGGAAAACAGGAAGACCCTGCCAGGGGGATACAGGCTGGGATGCATCTGGGCCAGCTGGCTCTGGAGACCCCATGCCAGGGCCAGGGACAGTGCTGGGTTCACAGATCCTGGCAGGAGAGAGGGAAGCCTGGTGGCAAGGAGCCATCTGAGCTTCTCCAGGACCAGAGGGCTGGGGGTCTGAGCACAAAGAGCCCCGGCTCAGGCAGGAAAACTGATCTCCCAACGTGTCTGAGCCAGCAGGCTCACGGGGACAGCTGATGCGGGGGAATTGGGGCTGCCCTGCCGTGGACAGGAGCCGTCTCTGGCCACTGTGACCTCGCAAAAGTTGAGGTGACCTGTCCTTCCCCGCAATATTTTCCCTGCTGAAGGACTTTGCAGTGAGGACAGAGGATGGGAGAACTCCCCAACTACAAATAATGTCTCATCTTTGGGTCTTTCCAGCTGCCTCTCACCCAGGCTTGCAGCTCCTGCCTGGCTTTGCCTACTCACAGCTTCCTGCCTGCTCCCCCCCCTCCCCAAACATCATCCTCTTGAGTCATCCTACCACCCTCTCCCTGCTCAGGAGAGCCAGGCAGTTGAGTCAGGCAGCTGCCAGGCCCTGCTGCCTGCACCATCCCCACCTCTCCTTGGAGCCTCTCCAAGCCACAGGGATGTGGCTGTGGTTGATGCAGCCTTGCTTGTCACCGGTCCCTTGATGTCCCATGAGCAGGGCTAGGCTCTGCCCCCTGGTCCAGGTGGTCCCTGCCAGTGGGGTGAGACATGGTGACACTGCTGGTGACATGCAGGAGCCTGCTTGAAGCTTATGGCACCCCAGGAGACAGAGAGATGGGCACGTGCTTCAAACCCACCGTCTGCAGGGTCTGGGGATGGCAAGAATTACAGGGTCTGGCAAGTGGGGCTCTTCCAGAGGTCTCCCACCCCATATATAAGGACCACAATTACTGCAGCTGAACCTGCTATCACACAGCTGAGCCCAGGTGACTGCTGGTGTGGGTGCTCCTATGCGTGGGGACGCTTGGCTAGACGACCCTCCTCTGCACCCAGAGATTCCAGCTGAAACTTAAGGACTTCACGGCAGCTTGGAGGTGAAAGAGTTTGGCTGAGAAAGCAAAGAGTGGACAGAGGGATGGTCCGGCTGCCACTCCATCAGATGTCACATAGGCTGGCTAGATGCCCTGTCCTTCCTGCAGTGTCCCTTGGCCACCCTGCAGAGATCCCTGCCAGATTGTCCCATCCCACTGGGCAATGGCAGTGCTTTTCATCCAGAGCAAGGGTTTGGAAGACTTTCTTCAGTAGTGCATCCCAGAGGATGACCCTCCTCTGCTGCTGTCAAAGATGCTTGGTCTGACATGCTCTCAGATGCCACACACCAAACACCACCATGCAGGTTGCTGTCTCGTGGCCAGAAGAGCAAAGTTGACAGACAGACAGTCTGGCCAAAGAAAGTTCAGAGCCCACGTGAGTCTTGCTGACGCTGGGTAGGTTCACGGCAGCTCAGAGCTGGGGCGAGGAAGCCAAAAGCTGAGATGTGAGGCACCTTTGATGGTGCAGATGAACCTACTTGCTTGCAGGAACAAAGCCAAACGCTGCTGAGTTCAGAGCTTCTGCCTTGCTCTGTAGAGAGGCAAACCTAGGTGAGCTGGAGCAGGGGATGCAAATGATCTCATCCTCTTTCTGGGAATAAATGGGAGAGAAGAGAGGCAGGATCCTGCAGCCACATCCCTGCTCTCCCAGAATATCCCCGTCTTTGTGGCCAACAAATGGAGGTGGTCAGAGACATGGTGCACCACTGGGCTTCACCCTGGAGACCTTCACCAAGTCTGGTCATGGTGAGCCATCTCTCCCTCGATGCAGATCCCCTCAGGCTGCAAAGCTCACAGGATGGGTAGAGAGGAAGTTGTCCCTCTTCTCTTCTTCTCTAGATTTTGAGTCTATCTGACCAGAAACCAGAGCAGGCTGAAAACACTGACTTTGGCCAAAAGCCACCAGAGACAGCAGTGAGTTTGACCTCCTCTCTGCACTTGAGGTTCCACATTGAGATTATGGTGATATAATTACCCTGAGCAACTTCCAGCAAAGGTTGGGAGGCCCTATTAATTACTGTTTACAAAACCTTCTGCCATTCCTGGATGAAAGGGTCGACAGGGGAGAGCAATTATTAATGTTACTTGTCCCACCTCACCCTCATCCCAATGTGCTTCCTCTAATTGTGCCTTGGTGCCTGCCTAATTTATTAAATGCCCACGTGGTGTGCGCCCCAAAAGTCATTATCTGATGATTCAGAGTGAGCTAATAAGGAGCTGTAATTTCCTCTATAAAACCTGATCCTGCAGTTTATGCACTCGTCAAAGCCATTCAGAAGGATCCTAACACCATTTGCCCAGCGTCCGAGGGGAGGGGATGCTCACCACTCCAAGGGGTGTCAGGATCCGGCACCTGCACATCCACTGCATCCAATGGATCTTGGCAGCTCCTGGGACTCCGGGAAGAAAAGCATCTGGCTGTAGATTTGGGGCTGGCCTTCTCTGCAACCTCTGGATGAACAGCAAAGAGGTGGCGAAGCTTCCTGGGATGTTGCAGCGGCAAAAGGGCTTTGGGAAGAGGTGCCTCTGTCCTGCTGCTGGGGACCTCCCCGGCACTGAGCACGCAGGAGCCAAGCGCTGCCCGGAAGAGGCGACGAGGACAAGGGTGCCAAGCTCGCTCCCCGGAGCAGGATGGCACAGTTCACACCAGACACTCCCATTCCCTGGGGTGGGAAGTAAATAGCACACAGGATTTCACTTCTCTGGAGCAGACAGACGTCCATTCTTTGCAGATTAAACCCTGCACCTGAGTTTGGCACGGACCAACCGGTCCCAGCCAAAGTTCAAGCACAAGCAGCCCAGCAGCAGATTTCGCCCCTGCGGTCCCTGGACAGTCACCGCGTCAGGAGCGCTGCCAGCACCGTCCTTGCTCTCCCGGCCCATTTCATGCCAGGGTAGAGCGTTGGCACGCTGGCATGAGATCCCAGTGACAAACTGAGGCCAAGCCTGTCCTGCAGGCAAGACGCAGCAGGGAGGGAAACAGAAGCGCTGAGTGGTGACAGGATGCACCAGCTGAGCAGGAGGAATTGGGTTGAAAATGTGGGCAAGTGGGTGAAAGCCGGGCTGCCTCCTTGCTGCCTGAGCTAGCTGCCCTGGGCTACTGCCTGCAGCACGCTGCCTGCTCACCATCCCTGCATGAGCAGTGCTTGGGAGGGGGCACGTCACTGTGCCCTGCCCATGTCCCTGCAAAGCACCTTCTCATCTTCAGAGCCATAGCAGCAAGCCACAACCTTGGGAATGCCAGGACTGCAGTGAGAAACTGCCCTTTCCCTCCCAAAATGAAAGCCAATACTATTATTATCCCCATTTTATCAGCCCTCAACAACTCCCAGAGAAAACACAGTGAACAGGCAAAGAGACATGACCATGGCCACATGGAGCATCAGTGTCAGAGATGGGAGCAAAGTGTCTGCAACCAAACCCACCTCCTCGAGCCAGGGAGACACCGTCCCAGCTCAGGTGTCCCTCACCCGGGACTCGTGGCAGACAACACAGCTCCTCCTCAATTACTTGCTGTAAATGGAAAAGCCAAGCCCTGAGATTTAAGAGTGGCTTTGAACCTGTCCCACTTCACATCGTTGGTGAGACGAGTGCAGCCCTCACCGGGCAGCCCATGCAAAGCAGGCACCCGGTTTTCTGCCTCAGTTTCCCCACCATGACAACAATGACATGCAAAACACATGAACATGTGCAGGAGGATTTATCCTTCCAATGGCAAAGCCTATTGAGAAGCTCTCAGGTGAGGATAAATGGGAATTCAGTTAAAATCAAGTGGCAGAGCCATAAAGTCCCCCCCTTGCTTGGCTCGCTGGCACCTCCCAAAATGCTTATGTGTGGCTGAGGCTGGGGAGGTCGGGGCAGCATTGGAGACGGCATGGGCTGGGGCTCTCTGTGCAGCCTCACTCCTCACCCCATCGCCTGCAGAAAAGGAAGAGCCAGCAGTGTCATAATGCACGATCCTCCTCTTAATTAGACCTCTCCACCTCCTGTGGCACAAAACTAATTAAAAGGCAGCTTGGTGCTTTGAGAGCCCTGGACTGGACGTGCCTGAGTGTGCAAGCACCCAGCACCATCCCAATCCCTTCCGTCCTGAGGGAGGAGCATCCCGGGGTCTCCCTGTGTCACCCCACGGTGTGCGCACACCCATGCTGGTGTCCTCCACGGCTTGGCCACGTGTTGTGGCCAGCAGAGCCCTCCTGGAAGGGCAAAGGGCTGAGAGCACACATCTCCCCCTGACCCAGGGCACCTTCCAGGAACAGCCAGAGATGGGGACACCAACTGGTTTCCAAGCATGGGATGATGACATACCGGTGCCCCAGTGATAAGTCGCTTTCCTGCATGGCTGTTGCCACTCTGTGTGGGATGAGGGGAGGCAGACGTGGCCGCAGGGCTGCGCTGCCCTGTTGCTACCCCGGGGATTGCACCGAGATGCTCAGCTGGGCTGCAGGCAGCTTTGCCTGCACACGTCTCATGCTGCACCGCTGCTGCTCAGTGTTGTGTCACGGGCGATGCCATCTCCAGGAAGGCAAAATCCATGGGCGTGGAGTGAACTTTGGTGCTTAGGCAGCTATCCCAGCAAAATCCCAGCATGACTGGACGCGGTACAGATGCACCTTCCTATCGCATGCGGGACTCACCCCGGCCCCACCACAGCAGCAAACGCCCTGGGTACAAAGGCAACTCCAGCTTGCAAATAACGGTGATGCTGCCGTGTGCCGAGCCCTGCTGTCACTGCACGGGGTGCTGGCACCATCGTCCCAGCTCTGCTCCGCTTTCATACAGCCTGGAAGGAAGGAGGGATGCTGCGCAGCAGGAGCAGCGCCCTGAGCACCCGGCAGGCTGCTGGCCAGGCAAGGGGTGGGCAGCGAGAGCAAGAGAGACATCGGCAGGCCCGGAGGCCACCTGCCCCGGTGCTCTGCTCTGGCCTCACAGTGCAGAACTGACCTTAAACCCAACCCCATTGCTGCTAGCAGCAACCTGGACTTAGGACATCAGCCGATCACAGGCACTGGGAGCTGCAAACTGCCTACTGTTTTCAAGCAACCGTGTCAGCTTGCACAACGGGCCCAATTTTAAAAGATATTAAAAGTCATTTCAGCTCCTGAATGCACCTCAGAGGTGCCCTGATACTTTCTACCAAGCTTAGAGTCACTTTTAGCTCATTTTTATACTGTTTCTCTCAACACAAGCATGCACGGCAACCCCAGAGACAGCAACCACCTCATGCGACGTGCCCTCGGACAGACAGACACATCGTTGCTTCACAGGTTTCCCCTTCTGGTGCTCCCCGTGATGGGGCCGCAGGCAGTGCCGATAGCAAAACTCCTCAGACAGAAACCTTGCTTGTTCAAGGCAGGAAAGTTAGATTAACCCTCAGAAACCAATTTTTCCACAAATATGTTATGCTACAGGCCACCCCCAGAGACCAAACCTCCCGTAGTGAACAGCAGAGGAATGGGTCTGGGGGCTCCTGCTTTCCACCCTCAGGCTGGCTGGAGCTGGGGGGAGCTTGAGCTCCCCCACACCTAATCCCAACCCCCTAGAGAAAGAGAGAGAGCATGTTGCTTCAGCTCTCACCCAAGCACAGCCTACATCTCGGGGCTGTCACCCAGTCATGCTACCCAGACTGACCTCTCTTCTCCCCTCTCCAGGTCATTGCAGTGGTCATGGACATGTTCACCGATGTAGACATCTTCAAGGACCTCCTGGATGCGGGCTTCAAGAGGAAAGTGGGAGTCTACATCATTTTGGATGAGACCAACGTGAAGCACTTCCTTCAGATGTGCGAGCGAGCCCAGATGCACGCTGGACACTTGAAGGTAAGGATGGCCTGAAGGGGCCGGGGCCGGGCAACCTCCTCCAACGTAGGGAGATAATCAGAGCTATCAGCCCTGCTCCCTCCTGTCTTGGGGAGATCACAGCCCCCAAACTTCAGGCAGGGCTGGACGAGCATAGTCCATTTTTTCCTGTAGTCAAAGCTGAAGGTGATGCCCAAACCCTGGAACAGCAGGATGGAGAGGAATGGATGAGAGGTGGGCACGTGGATTTCTACCCAGTAAAGCTGGATACAGAAAGCCTGGTGGGCTGCTGGTACCCCCAGAGCTGGCTTCGGGGCAGAGGGGTGTTCAGGGAGCTGCTGCCCCACAAAGGTGGGCGCAACTCAAGCAGGGCACTACAAAGCCCAGGGCAAACCTACGTGCTCAGCTCCTCCTGGTGAATAAGCCAGCGAGAGGGAAGGCACGAGAGGCAGGATGCTCTGCCAGTGCCAGATCCGTGCTCTCATCAGCCCCGTGGTTGCTCCTGCCCCAGGGGCCGGGACCGGCAGGAGCACCCGCCGGCCGGTTCTCTCGCTTTGGGGCATTCCCGCAAGTCAGAGGCTGGAATTAAAAAACTTGATTTTCCCCTTTTCCGGGGCCTCCGCCCCAGCACGGGGCCAGGAGCAGAGCAGGAAGGCACACACGCTGCCTGTGATCCCGGCAGCTGCCAAGGATGCCCTCACCACCCTCGCTCGTGCAAAGGCAAAGGAAGACAAACAGACAGAGGAGAGGGCAGGGGGTTATAGGGGCAGCAGCGGGGCCCCTCGCTCCAGCCGCAGGACAGAGTCCCAGGCTCCCCGCTGGGTGCAATGCTCCCGGCGTCGGATGCAAACGTGCTGGAGCAGCCCGGCAGTTTCAGGGCTTGCAGACACCCCCCTCCCGGCTGTGCTTCACCCACCAGCTGCGAGTCACTGGGCCTTGCCTGTTGCTTGGCAGAAAGGTGATGTGTCTCCGCGCCTGACGTCACCCGGCCACACACGCTGACTGCCAAATGGCTGGCGGGGAGGCCCATGCCCGGGCAAGCTCGCCAAATTTGCTTACAGTGAGGGCGAACCCCCGGCTGAGCAGGAACACGTAGGAGCCACGACACCCTCACGCCGGGCAGGAGTGGGGCCAGGACACACGGGGGGGCTTGGGGACCCCCACCCCAGGGAGCCAAAACCACCGGCCTGCCACGCTCCTGCCCTCCCCAGCCGCCGAGCCCGCCGGCCGTGCTTAATTGCTGCTCACGACAATTAAAGCAGACTCAACTGAGCTTTTACCCTCATCCAAACTCCCCAGAGAGTCTGGTATCCTGCAGACTGCTTCTGCTCTGGGACCAGAAAAGCCAGAGCTGATGCACGCCGGTGTTTTAATGCATTAGCAATCTGGTGGCAGGACTGGAAAAGCAGGAGAACACCTGCAGAGCTCGGCAAATGTCTAGAAGTTGGGATTTGCCGCATATTGCGGCCAATTTGCTGGCAAGGGACGCAGCAGGGCAGGAGGCTGTGAGGAAACTAGGGCAGTGTCTGGGACCTGCTTCGTAAGCCAGGAGATGCTAACGAAACGTACATCGTTATCTCAGCGCCTTCCATGCTTCGCAATTAACAAGGCAGCTTGGGCAAGGCGGTTGCTTCGTTGAGCAATGGCGAGTGCTTGGGGAGTGATTCACCCATCCCAGGCTCGGCAGCTGGCCATCACGCTGGGCACTCGCTTGCTGAGCGCTCGTCTTGGGAGAGATTAAATAAACAGATCTTACTTAACAGCAGCGGTACGCCAGGAGCGAGGAGGAAGGGAAAGGTAACCTGCACCTTGCTTCTGGGGAGCTTTGTTCCCCTGGGTGTTACCTGAGAAAAACCCACAGCTGCTTTGTGCCTTTGTGCAAAGGTTCGGCTCTGAGCGGGAGAGATCGACGCCCTGGGAGAGCTGCAAGCCGGGGACGCCCAGGCTGGCGATGGGCAGAGGGCTCAGCCTTGGGTGCAGGCGTTACCCAGCGGCTGTTCGACCCACACCCCAGGCACTACCGCTCTCTCAGCAGCCCCGCGTAGGGACAACGCGGGGCAGGGATGGGAATTGCCACCCCAACCTGCTTGCCAGCCAGCCCCTAGCACCCCCAGTACTGCCCAACACTGGGCATTGGGGTGCTGAGCACGGCTCCCCCCCCCCCAGCCACACCAGGCAAAAAGATGAATGCTAGGAAAAACCAAAAATCAAACACACCATAAAACCCTCAAACTTCTCCACTCAGCATGTAAAACTTCCCTGGAAAACTGGTCAGGAAAGACTTTGCTTTTGGATCACACCAAAACCAGCTTCAAATCACCGTCCCTCCTGCCAGGCGCATGGAAGTGGGGACCAGGCGTGCCCCAGCTCGGCTCGCACCTAGGTTAGGGCTGTGCCAGGTCCTGGGCTACAGGGACAAAAGAGACCCCAGGGAAGCAGATGAGGAAGGCTGGAGGTGAGGAGGACAAATACCACAGAGGACATGACCTAGTGATGACATGGTGCCTTTAGCAATGGCATTACCAACATCCCGGCAGGAACAGGAGGAATGCAGGTGCTTTCATAAGAAAATATTTTCTCCCCACCCAAGGGAGACCGTTTGCAGTGAACGATGCTATCTGCTCAGCTGCAAAAACGTGCTGGTGTCCTCCAGAGAAAAGCACAGAGGCATGAAGCAGACTGAAGATAAACATTTTTTCAGAGTCAGAGCTGCCCATCCATGTCTGGGCTCCCTGTGGGGAGGACACCCCACTCCTTGGCCACCTCCGCAGGGACCCAATGTGGGACATGCCCTTTTGGCCCACATGCCCAGGTTTTGTTTCCCAAAGGTGCAAAGATGTTTTCCCCTGGTTTTTCTCCCCACTCACCCTTAAAAACAGGACTAGATGCTCAGATTTGGGAGCACAGCAAGGGGGAAACTCAGTGGAGAACAAGCCCACTGCCATCAGGTCCACTTGCGCTGCCCTGGGGCTACCACCTTCCCCTAAAAACCCCTTGTGCATCTCCCGCTGAGGAGGAGGTGAAGAATCACCTCTCTCATGATGGGATTTGCATAAATCACAGGAGATGGAAAGTGCTTGGCAGCATTATCACACACTGCTCACCCATGGATGCAGGCAGCGCCAAGTTCAAGAGGTAGAAAACACTGTCCGACGCATGGGCAAAGCAGGAAATTTTTGAAGCCGAATCCTCAGTTCGCTGCGTGACCCTGGGCAAGTTATTTTATCTTCCCATCACTGTGGTCTCCTCTGAGCCAGCCATAAAGACCATTTCCCCATCCTCGGAGGGGCTGTGGAGCATCCACAGGGGTGAGCGATGCTCTGAAGACCAGTCCTTTGCTCCTGCTCACACCTCTGCCTCTGCTTTGTAGAACCTGCGAGTCCGGAGTACAGGGGGGACAGAGTTTTTCACGCGCTCGGCCACCAAGTTCAAAGGAGCTTTGGCCCAGAAGTTCATGTTTGTGGATGGGGACCGGGCCATGTGTGGATCCTACAGGTAATCAATGGTGTCTCCTCTTGCCCACCCCATAGAAGCTTTGGTCAAAGGACCAACATGGACCAAGTCCTGGTCCCTGCCCAGCCTGGCCCCAGGACCCTGTACCAGACTTGCTCCCCTCCTCCTAAATTTGAGAGATGATTTTGCAAGGCCAAGATTTGGAGTGGGACCCAAGGGGTTCCCACCACCCCACAGCCAGGTCTAGGACACCCCTCCTTCTCAGAGGTGGTGGGACACACCAAGTGTTTCTGTCAGTGCATGTCATGAGCACAAGGATGAACAAAAGTACCAAACTGCAGCCAGTCCTAGACCTCAGGTTTTCCAGTTACACATTTCCTACCCAAAGCCTATTCTAATTTGTCGAAATGAAAACTTGTTTTGGTAGAAATAGATCCATCTCAATAAGCTTTTCAGTTTCAAACAAGTTTCATAAACACGGAACTGAAACATTCCCTACTTTCTGGCCACAACAAACACCACATCCATTTACAAGTTGCTTTTCTTAACTAACCCAAACTGAGAAAGGAAAAGCACTAACACTAAAGTGAAAAACTAGCTCACATCAAATACCTTTTATTTTTACTTCAAGTTCCACTCTGCTCAAGACTTCATTCTAATTTGGGATGAGAGCTATTTCTTCAGTCTCATTATTATTAATGTTTACAGTGAGATCATGTCCCTGCTAGCACCATCAATCCCCCGGGGAAAGCCAGGGCTGGGGAGAGGTGTGTTATTTACCAGCAAGCACTCAGAGACTTTCCAACACATTTCTGTTCCAGCTTCACCTGGTCTGCGGCAAGGACGGACCGAAATGTCATCACAGTCCTCTCGGGCCAAGTGGTAGAGGCATTCGACAAGCAGTTCCAGGAGCTCTACCTCATGTCCAAGGGGGTGAGCCTAAAGTCCATTTCCATGGGTGAAGAGCCTGAACCTGAGCCTGTAACACTGCCCTCCGTCGTGCCGGTGACCCCTGCCAATGCTGTGGTGAAGAAGCTAATAAACCCTAAATACGCCCTGGTGAAGGCAAAGAGCGCCGACCAGATCAGCAAGACTTCATCAGAGAACCAGGACAAAAACCAGAAAACTGACAACAAAGGCAAAGCCATGCCCGAGGGCCAGGTGGGCGACAGGCATGGAGACATGGCAGATCTCTCCCTACTCATCCACCCTGGCCTCCTGAATCTGGAGAAAGCCAACATGTTTGACTATCTGCCCACCTGGGTCGAGCCCGACCCCGAGCCTGGGAGCGAAGTCTTGGGCTACATCAACATTATTGACCCGAAGATAAAGAACGTAAAGCTCTCGCAGATGAACCGCATCAAAGTCTGTGATGTCTCCCAGGCCAGCGCCCAGCACCGGCAGATGCTGAAGAACAGGGAGATGGAGATCAAGAAAAACTCAAACCAAGAGCCACCTCTGATGTTCCCTTACCAAAGGCAGACCCCACAGACCCCCATGGAAGCTCCTGCAGCCCCTGCTACCAGCCCCATCGAAGGTGTCAGCTGGACAATGAAGCAACCAGGAATGTTTCACACTTCACCATTGGGCCACTGCTTGAAGCCACCAGAGGAGATACTGGAGGACATCAAGCCCCCAGTTCCAAAGCCAAGGACCATCCCTGCTGGTATCCTTGTGACCAAAGTCATTACGCCCTGTGAGGGCAGCACTGCCCCAGAGGATGACATACAACCACTGCCAGGCAACCACGAGGGTACAAAGCAGGAACCAGAGGAGAAGCCCAATGGAGCTTCAGTGGAATCCTGCCATCTCCAGCCAGACCGGCCAGTGACAGGGACACAGGAGGACAAAGGGCCTCCCTGCACCCATAACGGGCTGGGAGATGGGGAGGAGGAGGAGGAAGAGGAATACATCACTCTCAGTGACCAGGAGAGCTACTCCAGCAGCTCTGCTGACCACAGCTACCGCCGCTCCAATGCCTCCTCCATCTCAGATGAGTACTTCGAGGTGAGGGATCGCTACGGGCCACTCCGGCGAACCAACTCGGACGTCACCCACAATGGGGAGATCCTTCCCATGCAGAGGAAGCTCAGTGACCCTCACATCAGCCGGGGCACCTTCCTCAGCCCCCTGGGGAGCCTTCCGTCCCTGAAGCATGTCCATGTGGAGGACATGACGAAGAGGAGGAGCAACGCCGTGGAGATTAGGTGCGTGCTGCCACGCACCATCCTGGATGGCAACAGCTCCTACCCCAGCAGTACTGCACAGGTAGGACTTTTTGCTATAACCTTCCCTATGTTTCTCCACCCTACAAAGGTTGCAAACCTGGAGGTGACCCAGCCAGCTCAGCCAAGGCGTGGTGTCATCCCTAGCTTTGGTGTCGCGTCCTAGATGCTGAGATCAGACTACCCATATGGGAGAATAGCTCTCTACATGTGGCGATGGTAGGAGTCACCCAAGAGGTGCTCTTGGTTGGGAAGGTTGGTGGCCATATCACAGCTCTTGGTGTCTGGGAGTGCAATGGGAACAGCTGGTAAATGGGAGGTTTTCAGGAATTAAAGATTATCCCATGGCATTGGGCTGTGGGATGGAGCCCAGCGGCTCTGTACAGCTGTGCCTGGAGCTGCTGGGCTCCATCCCAGAGCCCATGAGCAGTGGCATCATGCCCAGCCAGGGACAGACTGTGCGTGCAGGTGTGTCCTTCTCAGGCTTGTTTTCTAGCTCCTTGCAATGGTGATTAGCATCAAAGTAAAAGCACTCGGACACATAATTAGGCAGAACAAGACAGCGGAGAAACAGGGACGGCAACCTCTGTGGGCGAGCACTGTAGTCAGCAGCTTCATAGCTGATCCATGAGTGATGCCAGACCTTGTCACCCCACAGGGTGCACGCCAGCACCCCATGCAAGACCACAGGGTGCACACCAGCATCCCCATGACAGCAGGAGCATCACCCCATCCAGGCAGGCGGATCACAGGGTCAATCCTCTATTTCCACCCAAGTACTGCAGCCTCTTGCACCACAACCAAGTATTTTGCTTTCTCAAGGATCCCCACCCGCTGTTTTCGGGGCATTTAAACCCCCAGGGCTAAATCAGCAGCTGAAATCACTGAAACCACCTGAGGTTACCCTAGCCGAGCATCTAATCTGTATTTAGCGAGCCCTTTGATGCTCTGTGACCCAGGTGCCGCCTTGCTCAGATTGGCCAGGTGCGTTGGTGTTCCTGCAATATCTCATTCTGGCCCTTTGAAAAATTGACATGCCATCAGGGTTAGGAAAGCCAGCGCTCAGCTGATGGAAATGAGCAGAGAATAGTTTGTCCCATGTGCAAAAATAATAAACTTATTATTTATTATAATAATGATTAACTCTCTATAAATTAGATTAACTCTCTAGAAACCTTGAATCCAACAGAAATCACCACCAACCCCCACCAAACATTTCTGGTTTTGCTCCACGTTTCCTATGTGCTGGCCCTCAGCCCAGTGTAGCCCAAAACGCAGGCGGAGGCTCGCTCAGGGCAAGCATCGTATTTTCCATCACACTGAGAGCACAGCACCCAAGTCATCCCTGGAGCACTGCCTTGCCCAAACACATGCACACCTATGCACGGTTAGTAGAGTGCAGTAGCATTGGCTGATGCACAGCAGGCACAAGGAGAGAGCTGGGGACACTCAGGTCCTCTCAGGTCCTCTCCTGTCCCTCTCCCCCCTGCTCCCATTCATCGCTTAGTGACAGGCAAAATACCCACCCTGCTCCACGTCCACGTGGCAGGGCCCTTACCTGGGTACAGGACCCTGCTGATCATCCCCGGCATGATGATAACGAACAAGGGCAGCATCTTCAGGTAGCTGGCCAAGATGGAGCCTGCCTTGGCATGAGTCAGGCTCTTAGCAGAGAGCGACCGCTGGACAATGACCTGTGGAGAGCCGGGCAGGAGAGCTGAGCAGCCACCAACATCTCCTATTCCACATCAGCCTCTTCCTTGCCAAACTGCATCCCAAGCATCTCCAAACACTGGAGCCACTGGGAATCGGGCCCAAACGCAGCTCGCAAATGCAGCGTAGATGTGCACCCAACCCATGGGCTGCATTCCTCTCCAGACAAGCAACGGATTGGTGTCATGCCATAGCACCACAAAAGCGCAGTGCAACCACAGCAGTGTGTCCTCCTGACAGTATCAACCATTCCCCACCACCATCCTCTCTCCTCTTGCCCCTTCTATTCAATCTCTTCCCCAAAGAGTGCCCACAACAAAATGGACACCGAGTCCAGCCTCCTCCTACCACAACTCCACCACCCACACTGCTCAAACCATCGCACCTCAAAGCTCTGGCCAAGCCATGTCCATCCATGATACAGCTAGCCCTTGGGCTTCGAGGCAATCTCTCTTAAATAGGCAACATCCATAGGAAACACTAACTTTAAAAGAGCTCAGACTCTCCCCAGAGGCTCACAGAGAAGTGCTCAGCACCCAGCAGGATTCAGCCACTCCTGAGCAAGTACTGGTGGGCAGGAAGGATAGGATGCCAGCTCCTGGAGTGGGATACTTGGGGAAGCTGTGGTTTAACTTCTGCCCAAGAGCCAGAGCATGTCAGGAGCCACAGGACCCACCACCCAGCTCAGGCACCATGTGCACCGCATCAGGCACGTAATGACCTCAAAGGGATAGATCACCCTTAGTCCTTCTCACCTGAAAACATCTCAGACCTTACCACTGACTTTAAGCAATCTATTTAAATCAATCTAGCATTACTTAAGCTAAACTGCTTTAACGCAGCCCTCCTGGTCAAAGCAGGAGGTGTCTGCTCAAGGACCGGAGAGGCCATTGGGATATTGGGACTAAATGACCGAACACCAAGACAATGCCAATAGCACAGTGGAGATGCAGCACCGGTGGCATGGCAGGGGTCGCGGCAGGGCAGGTCAGTGCAGCCAGCTCTGCAGCCTCCCAGCTCCAGCTCGTCCTGCTGTCAGCACCTGCACTCGCTAGATCCAATCTTGCCCGGTATGTCTGCACGGGGTGCAATCACACCTCCGGATTGCGGCGCAGACACACCCAAAGAAGAAGATAAATATCTGGTGACCACAGCCATGCATTAAGGCCTTACCCAGTCCAGAATTAAGATTAACGATGCTCAGACCCGATCCAAACATGTCTCTCAACCCAGCTAATCAGAGCCACCCCCGCAGTGGTGTTGCAGCTCACTGTTTTCTCCTGATCCCACCTCCTCTCCCAACCCTCCATCCTTTCATCTAATCTTGATAGCCACCTAATCCCACAGGTTGGGTCTGGATGACTGAATGCTCTTTGGGCCTGAAACGAGTGCTCTAGATGAATAAGACGGGTGTTCAGGCTGCTGCTAGAGAGAAGGCATTTAGAAGCTGCTGGCGTCCTTGATCCTGGATCTCTGGGCAGCCATGACTTGGCTTGGGATAGTCTCTGGTTTGCCGGGGCTGCTCAGATGCTGCTATGTGCAGGACAGTGCTTGGCCAGAGCAAGAAATCAGAGGAGCAGCAATGGTTGAAACTTGAGCCAGTTTTGAGCTGACACTGGTCTCAGAAGAGTTTGGGCAAGGGAGTATACCAAGCTGCAGAGGGATTTGTCCATGAGGACCAAGTCCACAGCACAGACATGTGATGGGGTGTCCTTGCAGGGGAACATCATCCTTACAACAGCAGTAGCTCATCTCTTTCTCTGCTCTTTAACAGGGGATGCACATCTACCGCTACCGACCCAGGAACCCCGCAGGCAGAGAGCAAGGCAAGGAGGTCTCCTGCTCCCCGACACACGAGAAACCCCTCGGGGCCACCAAATACAGAGGGGATGGAGCTGAACCCAAAAAGACCATCGCAGGCAGCCAGCCCTACTGGCAGAGCAAAGCCTTCAGCCCCAGCAAGCCCACACAGCCCGGCCACCTCTCACCAAGCCACCCCAAAGCATCAAGCAAACGCTTAACCTCCCTGCCAGAAAGCCAGAAGACAACCGAGGAGGTGAAGACACCCCTTGGCATCCCGCTCTCCAAACTGTCCCAGTCCAAGCACCTCAAGAACAGGGCTGCGGGAGCCCCAGGTGCTTCTATTGACTCCAAAAAGAAGCCCCCCGAGACCACTGGCCAGAAGGACCACTAAGCACTGATGCAGGTGGACTTCCAGGGCGAGAGTGATAGTAGAGCGTGCCTGGACCCCAGGCAATGCCGTGTTACATGGGGCAGGGGAATCTTGTTTACATTTACCTGGTCAGTGCACCAGTACCACGTGGCCATGATAGACAGCCCGAAAGTCATCCCAGTCCAGGGCAGATCTCCAGAGACTGGGTCTCGGAAGAGGTGCATTGCATCCGCTCTGGGCAGGTGGCAAGTAGTGTTGGGAACAATCTTGGATGGCACAGCTTTTAAATAGGCCTCTTCCAGGTTGGGGTAACCTCCAATCTCATTAAAGGCTGGAAAGCATCATTGGGAGAAGCTGGTTAGAGTTGAGAAAAAACCAACAGCCTGTGAGATCAGCTGGCAGAATGCTTGCCAATTTGTTAACTCAGAAGTGCTGCCCAGAGAGGGAGGGCTCGTTCATGATCGTGTTTTCTAGTTATTTAAGAGACTCTTCTATTAACAATTTGCACAGCAGGTCCCATTACAGTCCACTCTCCCTTCAGAGGGTGACCCGTGTCCTGGGACAGAGGCTCCTCAAGGGACCCACCTCTTTTGACTTCATACTGTAAAAGCAACCTGTTTATTAAAGCTCCCCAGTCCCAGAGCAAGGGAAACTCACCTAAGACTATTAAAATGCAAGATTAGGTAGCCTTTGACTTGATATACTCAAGGTGCCTTAGCACAGATGTCCAGCCAAACATTTTCTACCCCTCTGAGCATTTTCCCAGCACCTCCCACGTGGCTCCATCCCCAAACCTCCAGCAACCAGTGGGAGGAAGAGAGAGAGAGAAAAAAAAAAAAAAAGACCCTCTTCACTACATTTTTCCTAGAAAATGGGATCCAAGGTATGGGTCTCTGAGCCCTGCTGAGGAGTACGTGCCATGAACAAGCCCTAGCAAGCGAGCCTCCGAGCCCTTGGCAGCTGCCTTGGTGCTCCTCCCGCCTGTGCTGCAGCCGCCAGCCCCCCGCCGCCGCCGCCAACCAGCCCTGGGCTGTGCCCTGGCCCCCCACCGCCTCCCCGCTCCTGGGGAGCACGGGCTGAACGCTCCTCAAGGCTCCCCCCATACCTCCAGCAGGAGAATTTTGGAGCAGGGAAGGATGGGAGGCACCCGCCCCGCTCCCCCCACGTGCCATGGCCACCCATGCAGCAGCCATGGAGGAGATACGCAGGGAGCTGTGTTGGCTCCCCCATACCCACAGCAGCTGCTGACGCCCAGAAGAGAGGACATCATCCTGCATCCCTTTCGCTCCCTTCCCCCGTGGGCTGCTGTCCAGACCCTCAGCTCAGCCCCGTCCAACGCAGCAGCGGGGTGGGAACGTGCTCCTGAGAAGTCGCCCTCCTGCAGGACAGTGCCCACGAGCGCTGCTGTGTTTAGATGGAGAGCAAATCCCTCAGGCATCGGGTGCTGGATACTGGGATCACCATCAAATGCCAGCTTGAGCAAATCCCAATTTCAAAGTCACCCGTCCTGCTCCATTGTCCCCTCCCGCCCAAGGACAGCTCTCTCCCTGCAGCCCTGCCATTTACATTACTGACCTGCACCCCAGTCCCCATCCCAGGGCATCCCCTTGACCTGAGGCTGTTGGGGAGTTTGCAAAGGGGCATCATCCACCGTGCCCCCCCTTCGCAAACTGGACCCCTGCATTTCACGGGGAGTCACCATTCGTAAACTCCTCCTGCTCTTGTGCAAGCAGCTCTGGCCACCCTCCAGCATTTGCTTTATCCAAGCACTGGCTACTCCCAAGCTTTGCATGGGTGTTGAGCACCAACAAAGGCTCTCCAGAGGTAGAGGGTGAGCACTGAAAGCAGAGATTTGTGCCCAGGGGTGCGGGCCTGCTCCCTTCCCAAAAGCGTTTGCCGGCAAGTCATGACACCTACGCTTGCTGGGACGGAAGAGCAGGCAAAAACCTCAGGGCAGCGGGAGCTCAGGCTGCAGATGCCGGGCTGCAGCCCGCAGGCTCCACCATGATTAACACGCCTGTGGTGAATGC